TGCCAGTATGAGTTACATACTAGTATTGATACTACAGAGTGATGCCTTAATTAGAGTTAGGCAATATCTCATTGTAGACATCTCTCTCTAGTAGGCGCTGCCAGAGGTCCACTCAGAAAAATGTTGTTGAAGCTTCTAGGACATGTCAAAACACTAAAACTATCTTTTAAATATTACATTATTCATTCCTTTACTTTGATTTTTCATGGGAATTCTTTACTTCAAAAGGTCCTATGCTAAAACATATTGAATTCCCATACAAGCAATGTGCAACTCTGATGCTTAGAATTTAGTAAAAATTTTTAAACAGAATTTAAGATTCAAGACTTAAAAGTGCAAAATCTCCTTACACTCTTCTTGCATAAATAATGATTAAGAGACAGAGAAAAAACCCCACAGCCTCTAACATTTTCATGACTATACAAAACCATCAGCTACAAAGTCAGTTATTCCTTGACTAGCTACTAGGTACTTTAATGGTTCAGTTTCTTAAAACATCATGTAACCAAGATGTGAACAGATTTCGTTTTTAAATCTTGAAAATCTTGGCAAACATTTGTCATACAAAAAAAGTATGTTACAGTAAGCTTTTTCAGTGTTTTTCATCTCAGATTACGAGGAACAAATAGAACAGCTGAAAGATGAAGAATCTTAAGTAATTGAACATGAATACTGGTACATCACATTTTTACTTGAAAATTTAACATGTCCGGGCTCAAAGAGTTTTTGGTTCAATAACAGCAATCGGAGCTGAAAAATATCATTATCTATGTTTAACTCCAACACTCTTTCTTCAGTCTACATCTTCTGTACTTACTGACATATTTTATTGTGTCGTGTTCTGGTTTCCTGTTTGAGGCATAACAGAAGTTTAAAATATTTACCTATCAAGTAATCTTATTCACAGAGGAGCAATGTACTTCATTTCACAATTGCCATTATAATTTACAACTTGGAGTGGCACAATTCTAAAAATAATTTATAGTTTAAAATGCTGAGTAGTCAAGCAGCAGACACACCAACACAGCATTAAAAATAGCACAGGGCTGTCAAAGAAAATGCTTTTGTCTGTTTATAGGAAAACAAGTATTTTAAGCTTCCGTATTTTTTCTGCGTAACCAAATTTGCATTAATTCAACAGGAGCCTCTATTGTCTTAATCTGATGAATATTACAAACCAAATCAGTTGAAGCATACTTGGGAAGCTCTCAGTTATACCTACCACATGTCAGTTAATTACAGGCTGTCAAGAGATGAGTAACTGTCATAAGAAACAATAGAATTTTTTTAATAAAGATCACTGAAAGTGATCTCTCTGTTTCTTATTCCACAAGATATATGGAAAAAGAAATCAAAGACTAAATGCCATTTTGATTACAATTGTTTAAGAGAGACTATATGCAGGGTGCTCTCAAAATGACACCTTGACTCATATTTCACATTCCAGTCTGCCAGTACAGTAGCTCCAAAATAACTGTTTGCTACATCAAAGTTACCCTTATCTGGGCAGATATGATGTGATGTCAAGAAATTTGACATCATAGTTGCACTACGACCTGTGCAGAGGTCCTACAGCTTGCACAAGCATGGCATGAAAAGATGACCCAACAAGAGAGAACTATGAAATATGAACTCTCGTGGCCAGCAGACCGCAGTGCATTAACATTCAACAGTCTGACAGCTGGTGTTCAGAAGTGTGCAACAATGGGGAAGAACAAATGCTTCCATTTTAATTTTTTTTTTCTGTAATTAAAAGTATTTTTCTATCCAAATAAATCTCCAGAGCATACAAAGGTTAAGTTCTAGTTAAGGAGTCTACAAGACAACAGGCACTCCCCCCTTGCCGAGGAGCGGGAGCCCTTACTTGGAGCGAGGCCGTTTCCTGCTGTTCCCGGGACTGTTGCTGATGCGATACGCCGTGGGAACGCTTCTGTCATCTCTCCGCCGTTCTGGTGTGTGAGCCCTTCTCCGGGGTGACCTTGATCGTGATCTGAGTAGAGAAAAAAAACATTCAAAAGTTTGCTTTCTGTTACTTATTTCAATTCTTTTATTTCAGTGGAATTGTACTTCACCAAATGCAAATACACCATCTTTCAAATGCCTGCTTTATACCAACTCAGTGTATTTAGGCCCCAAGACTTGTCAGGTCCATCAAAATTTCTTGCCTATCCAAGACATTTGAGATGAAGTTATCCATTGCTTTTCACTTCCAATAGGGGCCTAAAAAAGGAATTATTTTTCGGTCTTGTCTACTGACGACAACACCTGTATTAGTTGATGGAAAACTTTTCTTTTAGTCCAACCACCTTTTGTGGTGATATAATAGGAATCCAAGAAGGGATTCATCCATCCTATTTTTTCACTTGCCACCCAACTGCTTTGTTTTCTTCTGAGCTTTGCTGCTGAACCACCTAGTTCTCTACCTCTATTTCTTATCTGAATATTGTCTAAGTTGCTTTGCTCCACTAACAGCCACAGATTTATCTGCAAGTTCTCTTCCTGCTATCATCACATTCCTACATACTATCACCAGGTATTTCATAGAGAATCATGAAAAAGTGTTTACTGGTAAGAGTTTCGCACTATGTGATTAGAAATTAATGATTCAGTATTTCACTAAAATTATTTTCAAAAGACCTGCCACATTTGATAGTATTTATTTACCACCTTCAAGGTGACTGTAACATTTGCAATGGGTACAAAAACACCTATGTTATGGAAGAAGTGCAAAGATGTTTTAACTGTTAACTCACAGAGAACTCTGAATATGTTTGGCTTCCAAACCCACCTTGAATGCCTGACAGTCCTATAGGCAGTGGGAAGTGAGTGCTTTGCTTTTGAATGTGATCTAGACCTGGACTTAGATGATGAATGATACTTAAATGGTGATCGAGATCGTGATCGAGATCTTTTCTTGTGTTTTTTCCTCTTCTTTTCCTTTTCTTCATCCCTAGGAGGATCTCTGCTTCTGCTTGAAGGCCTTTCTGTTTGCTTAACTTCTAAGGTGGGTAAAGTTCTGATTGCAGTCACAGGACATGGTATACTACTGACGCTCTGAAATCGAAGATAAACAAAAAAACAGTGCTCAGTTTCCAAAGTTAGTCCTGCTGCATTGGGATTACATAAAATGTGCAGAAGTAAGGCTGACAGCTTCAAACACAGGCATCCATGTGTCCAGAAGTCCAGAAGTTGTTTTTCAGCATCTTATTTGCACGACTGAGGCAAATCTGACAAAAGTAATGCTAAAACATGATTCAACAACTCTCTAGCAGGAATGGATCAGGAAAGAGCTCTGTAAATAGGGAGAATTTATAGCTATATGAGAACAGAAATGAGTACTTCAGTTCATGTAAGTAATTTGCATATTTAAAGTATTCATAAGCCCAGAACACACATTAATTATTCTGGGGTTACACTACTTAATCAATACACAAAGATAAAATTAGAAATCAACCAAAATGTGGTTATTATTGGAACTGAGCAAAACACTAGTACTGTGTCTGGCTCAAACAAAATCAACTAGCAAAGGACATTATCAATAACACTCCTACCACTTTTACAAACAGCAGCAATTAGAATCCTATTTCTGTGAACCGTGCAATGAATTACCTGGAATTCTTTTTGAGGGAAAGGAAACAATTGAAAGCCATGTCCTTCTTTCTTGTAGCTGGTCTGTCACAACCAGTATCTAAAATTTTCATCAGTATCCAGAGATGACATTTTGCTTGATTAGTGCAACCAAGAGTGATTTTGCTAGGTATTCTGAAAGCAATATAATTCTGAACCCAGGAAACTGAGATTCTACTTCCCAACAATATTTGTATTTGTAACGTGCAGCAAAACCATCAGTACACACACCAAATAAGTAAATATCCCAGCTGTCATCCCAATACTCCTGAAAGGTGACCGTTCCAACACTTTGGATCACTAGTACAGAGTTGTAATGTGAAAGCTCCTTTTCTTTTCTATACTGGGCTAACTGACCTAGGAATTGTGCAGCTTACTTCTCTACCRTTCTTTAATGACAGATGAGAGACACATTGACGTAAGACTAACTGAAAAAGATTATCAGTGTTCAAAATAGAAATTTCTCCCCATTTCGCAAAGCTTTTATCTCTTCAGTTGAGCTCATACCACACAGTAAGATTCACATTCTAGAGGTAAGTTTTCTGCCAGCTTTATGAGAAAGAGAAATTTATTTTTTGCTTACCTCACTACTGAATGAATTCTCTTCAATTTTCTCAGTTTCTGCCTCTGCCAGAGGGTTTTTCAGGGTCTGCAAGAACAAGGCAGCTTTCCTTTTGCGCTCTGCTTGTAGCTGCTTCTCCTTTGATTCTTTGGAAGCCTGTGCGAGCTTCTCCCTTGCTGCCGCTGCTAATCTATCCTCTAGTTTCTGCTTTGCTAAGAAAGACAAGCATTAAGTTTAGAGCGAGCCATGTTTGTGGAACTCGGGCTTCCTTAAAACAAATACACATCCCCCCACCACAAACAAGTAAACAGCCCCTCCAGCCATTCTCAAGCCTTTCTAACACAGCCATTCAATGACATAATAAGGACATACCAGCCTGAAATTAAGAAATTCCAATAATATTAAGTCATAGATGCATCATTTGCTTGAAGAAAAGCAGTTCAGGGTGAAGTTAAAACTTCTAGCTTAAAATGACATGAAAATCCAATCCTCATTATTCAGGATACTTGTCCTTTTCTGTTTATAAAACCTATTTAAAGAAAGTAGCTCTGCAAGTTCTGAAGCCTTTTCTTGTAAGTCTTAAAGTGATGCAAACTCTCCAGTTTGCTCCTTCCACTTAAATACAAGTTAATGTGTTAATAGAAAGAGCTGCTCCAGAAACTTTCAGAAACTGCTTCATCATTGCTACAACCAACAGATTTTGGTATGTGAGTACATAAAGAGTAAGCCAATTGATTTAACTATGCACCAAACAGTTTACTTTGTGTAAGTTTTTCATCTTACACTTCCATTTTTGTATTCTGTATATGTACAAAACTGGATTTTTTGTTCAGTTGCATAGGTTTTTCAACAAACAGCTTATTCCAAGTATGTTTTACACTTCATTGCCACACAAAATAATGCATATTTGCTTCAGATATGTAATGCCATAGCATACTTCATGCTACAAAGTAGGTTTGCAAAGGAACTGCTGCTTAGAAGCAAAAACCCACCATTCTGAAATAGAAAAATTAAATTACTGTCACATACTCATAGTTGTGAGAAATACTGAGTTTTTAAGCTGGTAAATACTGACGGAATATCCACTTTAACAAACACACTCTGCTGTGAAACAGCCCTGGGGAGGAATGGGTGAAATTGGATTCTTTTAAAACATCATTTCATTCAAATTCACAGCATGCCCTTCTGCCCTTATGCACATTAACACAGTAACAGGAAAAACCCACAGAAAGATTTAATGGCATTGCATTATAAGAGCAACAAAACATCAACAAGGCAGTATTAGTCTATATGGGAGTGCTATATAAATGAAAAATAGCTTGAGGCAATTCACAGTTCTCTGAAGAAAATGACAAGAAGTATGTCTTTGCTGGGCTCTGTTAACGCAATCTGGAATCCAGAAAGTCAGTGCTTTACTGGAAGGCTGCAATGGAAAAACCAAAACAAAACTCAGAATAATCAGGCATTAGGGCAAAGCACCCAACCACTCCCATGTGTAGTAAGTTTGATCTTATCTGAGCGACCAGTGAAGACATTATTCTTAAAAATAAGGAGGAAACTGTGGGAAAAGAATTCTGCTTCCTGTTAACATGACACTGAAAAGATTCAAAACACCTAAAACATCACCCTTATTCACATGACAGTTTTGCAGTTTGTGTGAAGGACTCAATCCTTCATTTTATTTTCAGCACCACATGGAATACCTTGTTTAGCTTCCAACTCCTCCTGTGTAAGTTGAGGCTTTTTCTCCTCAGGAGCAATACATGGAGTGGTAACTGCTGCAGTATGGTTTGAAGCACAGTTAGCATTCTCTTGGCCTTCCTTTGCCTCCTCTTCCTCCTCATCACTGTCATCATCTAATTTAACACGGTTTTTCTCCAAAGGAAGAAGGTCATTTTCTTTGGCCTTGATTGCAAAGCTTATTGGAGCAAAGGATGCTGCGAATGAATGGGTAACATTTCACATGTCATTAGACTACAGCAGAAAGTAGATTCAGTTTCCTGATTTTCCCTGTTACTCCAGCAGACTACACCATAATAAAAGAGAACTACTTGCCTTGTCCTATTATGCTAATTACTTTGGTGAAAAGGACAACACGATCCTTTTTTCTCTCTTTCTGTGCTTTTAAACAGATGTTGAAAATTTCATTTGTAAAGATCTCAAAAAAAAAAACCCCCCCCCCCCAAAACCCCAGCATTAATCTCCAACCCATTTATTCAAAATTACTTTTAATAATAAAGAATGGAATTTCTCACTACCTAGTACCATATGGTCTGCTGCAATACTTATCTTCCTCAGGATGCCATTTGCATATATAACCTACGAGATTGCAATTAGGGAAATACAAATACCATAATTAAATTATACACCAAGGTTTATAAAATAAACGCTTTGATTCTGGCAGTCCTAGCATAAGGAAATATGCTCAGAAACAAAGAACTCCAGAATTCCAAGAGAAAACAGTGATTGTCCAACTTTCTTGAGTGACAGAAGAAATTCCAAAATGGAATTTTACTTCCTCAGAGGCAKAAGAAAAATCTAGCATGGGAATTATGCCTGTCTTGTAGGCAACTACTGCATTTAGGTTACAATAAAGTGGAATTTGTACCATATTAAAGGAAATGAAAATAAGTTTATAGGAATAAGATTGTTATGAAATGACTCACTGGTTATATTCCATCACACGCATTTGAGCAAATCGCTACTATTAAAGTAGCTCCAGTTTGCCATTTATTAATAGCAGAACAACAGAAATAATTTCTTGGTGTACACTGCACCTCTTAATAGGGCATCTTTGAAGGCAGGGACTATTGCTCCTTCCCCAGGGAAGCTTCTCAGGCTGTCCAGAGAAGAAATTGCAATCTGGGCAGTCGGACAACCACAGCAAAGAATCTGGTGCTTGCTGATTGTAGAGGAAATGGGACTGCAGTGAGAAGCAGGATGAGAGAATTCAAAAGGACMACAGTGGGTAGATAAACTTATCAGTAATTGGGCAAGTCACTGAGGTGGTAGGAAGTCAGTTTCCATCCATGGAAACCCAGTTACACAGTGATTTTTCTGTTTTGGTTTTTTCTTTTCTGTGGCTTTCAGTTCTAGTTAAAAGATACACATTTTTAGTTTTACTGAAAATAAGAACTTTTAACTTGGTATATCTTTTCCCAATATACCAAGAAATCAGTTCCCAGATATAAACAATCATTTTTTCAACTCAGGACACTAATAGTGTGCTAGCTGGCTTTGTCTAAGTGGCTTCTACAGAGATCTTCCCATTCTGTCCGTCTCCTGCTAAGACTGCAAGAGTAAAACGGTTYCACTTAGACATGAAAGGGGACTTTTCTTCCAGCATGGCTAACATCCAACACAGGAAGAATGAGCAACAAGCCTACAGTACTTCCTTCACATGTATCCTTTCAAATAAGACCACTCTTTTTATTCAGAACAGATGCTTCTCTCTTGCACAAAGCTTGTAACTGTCAAGGTTAAAATAAGATTTTACCAGGGTCACTRATGAAAGCCTTTAACTTTGCACAAAACTGAAGGAAAACTATTGCGTCAGACCATAAATACCCGATAGTCTGATGAAAAAAGAAATACGAAAGCAATCAAATTACTATTTTCAGTCCTTTTTTGATGCCTTCAGTGAAAACTTATTTTTCGCACTATTAAATTATTTTTCTTCTTCTCCCTGACTTCTTTTTTTCCTTATGAATATGTTATCAAATATTTTCATGTCCAATAAATCACGTCATCATACCTTTCACCAGTTTACCATCACTGACAGCTTTAGGAGGAGGAACATCCTTTTTAGTTCCTGGAACTCCCTTAGCATTTGACTCAGATGTATCCTCAGGTGCATGYTGATCTGCAAATTGAGTCTCACTCGGTTCATCACCGGCACTGCCTGCTGGAACATCTTCAGARGAAGATACTCCCTTTTCAAAACAAATGAGTGGAATTACTAACAGGGCAGTTATGAAAAAGTTATGAAAGTTAATACAATGTCGGTGGAACTGCAATTTTGTCAGCTATTTCCAAAATTACATTATCAGCTAATAACATAACTGCTAATTYTGCATCACGGAGCACTCTTGACTGTAATTCTGCCTCATGTAAACCCAAAGACCTAGTCTAAGAAAATGTTGATATTTTACAGCAAAGAAAATGTTCTTCAGCTGATACACTTTTGGTAAAAAAATTTAAAAATATATTTTTAAAATTAGACCCTAAAAGCATGTACTTCCTTTGTGTATTCATTTAGGTCTTGATGTCCAGGGTCTCGAACCAAATCCATTACAGTAAATTCCCAGGGACAGAATGAAAGCTTATGACACCTTCTTCTTCACGTACAATTACATGTAACTTCCTCGCAGAATCTGATTTTACAGGATTAAACACAGGTTAATGTCGGATTTGGTCCAACATTCTGCTGAAGAACATTGGGCTTAGCAAAGTTTTTTGATACAATATAGGTGTGCCCAGATTTTCAAGGAAGCAAAGAATTACTGGCTCTACTATTACCTGAATGAATCAGGGTTAGGACACTCCCTAAACTCACAGTATCAAAATTTCAAGAGGGATATTACAGAACATTCAAAATATTTACACAGCGAGTTGTGTGATAACATTAAGCAATTTAACACTGAGATGTGCCTCTTTCAATTAGGAGTTTGGTTGCATTCCACTGGCTATCATTAAGCATACATGATGTTGAAATTGAGGCATTGAGCAGATCTTCCCTGCAGCATTCCCTGACCAACAGAACTGATTTCTGAAAGTCCTAGAAGGGGAAAAGCACAACGAAATCAAGCACTTACTTCTTCCTGTATTTACTCAAGCCAGTAGTACAGTTTCTTATTAATTGTAATGGCCAAAAGGAAAAGCATCAATTGCATTAGTTGCCTATTAATATATTACTAGAGCATAAAGATAATATCAAAATCATTATTTTAAAAAATTGAAGAAAATGGCATTATCTACAAAGCCATGCAGGACAAAAATATGCATTGCTGCACTTGACCTCAAAGGAATTAAACAAGTTTCAGTTCCTTTTTAGCTGTACTCATTTTAACATTTTAAAGGAATCTGTTTTCGTTATGCTATGGTTAGTGCACAATTTCCCCCCAAACACACATTAACAAGTCCTTATTAATTATGTAAGTATTATGAATTCAACCCACTCGTTTGCCAATAAGACATACTAGAACAATAGCCAGCATTGTGGCACAGGATAACTTTGCTCGTAATTTATCAGCTGAATGAGATCATATTTACCATGACTTATCTTTAAAAATAGCACTTTCTAAACATTTTTTCACTATTAATACAAAACATCAGACTCAAGTCTTTCCAACAGCAACCCGTATCGAATTTCTTCATTTTCCACAAAGCAATTCCGAGGAGTTTACCCACAGGCCTACCTTCTTCAGTTTAAGGCTCCCCAATCTAAGCCTTGAGATGACAAATGACATAGGGCCTAAAAAAAAAATAGCTCTTTCCCATGAAAAGTTAACATCAGATAATGTAGTTCTGATATTATTTGCAACTTTCTTTTCAGTAAGAGAACAATCTAATTAGCTAACGTGAGAATAGTTAAAAACATGGATGCCAAGTCTGGCTACCATCTTCTAATAACATGGACTAGAAGAAGCAAAGCTAGTAGGAAACTGCTGTGAGATTCTGAAGCTCCAGTATTGCTGCAGTCAAGACCAGACTCTAACGAAACCTCCCTCAGAAAAAAAGCACGTCAGAAAGCTACTCCAGCCTCTGTGCTACTGTTGTACAAAGAACCACATGGCATACGGAAAAGTATGCGTGCTAAAAGCCAAACCTAACCTTTCTGACAGCAGAACACTAGTCACAATCCTACAAAGCTCTAAACCTCCACAAAGCATGTACTCCCTCGTATAGAAATCCAGAAGATTTTCAGGTTGTCATTTAATGTTACGACCACTAAGGAGTGGTTTATAGCAAAATGCAAGAATTAAACATCAAGCCACCTCACAGACCCTTACTTAATACAAAAATAAAAAACCACAAAACAAACATTCACATTCTTTGCTGACCAATTTCTCCCTAACTCAGTGTTCCATTTTCAAAACGTCTCATGGTAAAACTATTGATAAGTTCCTTTTCTCGCTTCTACTGATTTTTCAATAGAAGTATATACACGCATGTACCTGGCAGTTGTCACCACTCTCTTTTTGAAGGAAGAACTGTTTTTTAAATTCATAATAAGCATTATACTGGTGCCATGGTTGCAGGAACTCAAACCTGTTAAAAGAAAATTGAGTATGTGAAAATGCACATGCACATAGCTAATGMTAACCATCCTTCGTCATCTAATTTTCTCTAGCAAAAGGAGTTTTATTTAATTCCAACTGATAGCTTGGAAGCACTCTTACTTTTGCCTAAACTTCAGAGGATATACATTCAGCGCATCCTTACTGGAGAGAGACATTTTTGACAGGTTGGTTGTTTTGACAATTTGGGCAATAACGCTTTGCCATTGCCTTTCAGTAGGTCCCTAAATTTCAATTAAACAAACAAACAAACAATAGTAGTTCTCTTCTCAAAAGCTGCATATCCTGTAATTTAATATCTTAAAAATTAAAACCTCAACTTTTGAAATAGCAGTTTAAATATAATTTTCTCGTTACCTGAGATCATTCTTGGCACGAACACTGGTTTCAAATTTTACCCCATTCCTAGCAACATACTCAGCTAGCTTGTCAATGACAGGTTGGATATCTGGAGGTGGAGGTATAATGGCAACCACTGGAGCAATTGTGCTGAAAACATCAAGAGTAAATGGTTTTTATAAACAGAACACAAAAATCTTTCASTCTCTTACTTTAACAAAAAAAAATACAAAGAGGTTTCTTCTCTGAGTTCACTAGGCAGCTTGACTCAATAACAGAACCTGTACTAAACGGTCCTTATTGAAGAGCAGGAACAAGACCTCCTCCAGTCAACAAGCAAATCTGTCTGCGGTACCTTGCAGATGTAGTGGTAGAAGTCAACCCGCTGGCGCTGTCAGTTGTGTCCGGGGGAGGCGGGGGTGTCGTACCAGGAGGAGGAGGAACCGTGGCTACACCGGTAGCGCTGGACACAGTGACCCCAGCGGGCAGGGCATTGTAGTAGGCAGCAACATCGATTCCCGGAGGTGGAGGCGCCAGGCAATAGGTTCCATCGGGGAGCATGTAGTAGCTGTAATACATGGCTGCCACAGTCGCTACAAAAAGACACATTTAAGCACAACGTTTTCATTAGAAGAAAAGCACCCAAGAAAATACATCATTGCATCAAACAATAATGTTGTATTTACAACAAACCAGAGAGAATCTGGATTCACACAACACGCTAAGAAATGGTACCTTATTTATTGTATAAAAAAAAGAAAAAAAAATCCAAAGCAAAAAAGGAAGGCTCATATTAACAGATTTAGGACGAATAAGAGGTATGTAGACAGGGACAGAATGCAAAAGTACTGAAGGTCATCGGTATGAACAGAGAAGTGAACTAGAGCAGGCATATTTAAAAATTACCTCATATGAAATTATGTTTCCTAATCTAATTCACCTCAGGCAATTTAACTCGGTTGAAACTATGTTTTCATTAAGAAAGAAATGTGCATATATTCAAAATTAGCATTAACAAAAGCTAAAATCACTAGAATCACCATATACATACTAAGCCACTGTATTACTATGTACAAACACCTACTTACTTAAACCTCGATAACGGGTTTTGCAATTCAACAGCAACATAATGAACAAGTGCATTTGAGCAAGTTTTCCACACTCAAGGCTTGTCTGATTCTAATTATTTCTTGAGAGCATAAAGGCTTATTATGGCTTTCTATCTTTCTTTAAGGCAGTATTTTACAATGTTTTAATTAGCTTAATACATTTATATGGTGGATACCTCTTGTAAATCTAAATCTTTTCTGCAAAAAGACTATGTATAAAGAGAAAATATTAAAGTAAAATATTCCAAATGAATCACATTAGGAGTTTGCATTTCTAGAAGCAAGGTTTAATTCAATGCATTAAATTATAATGAACTATCCTCTTAGAAGTTTCAGAAACATTCCTGTGTGACACTATTTACTAYCTTTAAAGAATAAATTCTCTGTAACGAGAACAAAATAAAGTTCTGCTAAGTTTTAAAAGCAGGGAGAGGAATTGCAAACTGAACTTTTTCTGTTACTAAATTATAATATCCCAATTTCCATCATATACATTCAGGTTCGAGCCTGACATGAAAGTAATCAAAAGCTCACTAGCTCTATTCTACGGAGACACTTACTCTGATTTTAGTCTTTCTTGAAATAAGCAGTGATTTTCGATTTCTTCACAGAAATCTTATTTCAGTTTTATTAAGATTCCCTCATGTTACAGTTTTAAATACAAATTACTTCTATGCCTATTTCTCTCCGCATATTACATTCTGACAATGCCTGTAATCTTTTGGGGGTTCTGAACCTATAATGCATAAAAATCAACTCATATTACTATGGTGATACTGATCTGCAGCAACATTACTAAAAAAACAAGAAAACCAGTACCATCTTGAAGTGACACTACTCATTACCTACAAATGTATAATATGAAAGTTTACTATAGTGAAGGCTTCACTACAAATTTGCTTAATCTCAGTAGTCTTTCATGGGAAGTCCCATAAATGAAAGGGTCAATTGCATTTCTATATTTAAGGAATCAAGGACTTTCAGAATTCTGAAAGTTGAAAAAAATTAAGAGGTACATAAGCTCATTCACGTTTGACTTCTTTACCTTTCTGAGTATCAGAATTTACAAAATTTGCAGGAACAAAGTAATATAGTAAGGGTATTGTGCTAACCTTACTCTTGGACTGGAGACTTGGCTTCCTGCCTGCCCACCCCCTCCACCCCATTCCAGGATTTCCTAAGCAGCAATTCAATAGGTACTCAGAATGGACCTTCAATGACTCAGGAGACTGAGAAAGAATAAATACACAGGATCAAGCATGAAGCCAACATATTCTCTTCCCACCAGCATCCACACACCATTCATCAAAACACAGCACCAGCCGCCTCCTCACAAAGCACTTACAATCAGAGGAATATTCTGCCTGTGATGTCTGCACAGCTGCCCCGTCTGCTGACTGTGGTGTAGACGAATTATTATCTGATTGTGCTTTGCGCACCAGTGCTGCAAGGGGGTGATCAGGGTCTACTACCTTCAAAGGCTGAAAACATTTTGACAATACAAAAATAAATTAAAATTGGAAGTACATATATAAAGAACAATAGCATCAACATATTTGGGAAAGCAAATTTATCCATCGCTGCACAGTAATTCTGTGCAAACACTGAAGTTACTGTTTTTGTAGCTCATTAGTAGCTACAACATATTTGAAAATTAGTGAAAAACGACACAAAAACCACTTCCATGAAAGCAGAAATTAATGACATTAAAAAAAAAAGGGTTATTACTGCTGACCAATAACTGCCACGGCTGGGATAAGGCACAGAACCTGCCTTGTCTAAATACCAGACAGGATCCCAGCCATTGCTCTGAAAGCCTCAAATACGTACAAACATCTGTCACTCCTATTATTCCATCACTGCCCAGTCTCAGAAAATAAAAACTACTTACACATCTAGCAAAATTTGCATTTAACGAGTAATAAATTCTGGTGAAATACTATTTGTTGGAACTGTTATTTCATGTCAACTTTTATCTACTAAAATCTAAAAAGAGAAAGAATCTTTCTCAGCTTATATACAGAAGGCATTAAATACCTTAATCTCTTCTGCTTCAACACAGGTTCTATAGGACAAATCCTTGAACGATGCCCTCAATATCAGAGAGCATCAGAACTAGAAATATAATTCCTTAGAAATAGAAAAAATAACAATTTATGTACTAGAAAAAAGGTAACTCAAGTTTACCACAACAGACTTAAATGACCGTCTGAAAAGAACACCAGACCTTTGTCAACAAAAGGCCTGAGCTCTGGCGTATTAGAATTTTTGTGTCCATGAATCAGGTGTTTTACAGGATAAAAAAGTGATTTTAATAGTGTCAAGTACCTTCATGAGCTCTTCAAGTCTACTGCATTTTTTAGACGCAAAAAGGCTTGGATGAAGATAATTTCCATCATCGTCATCATCATCATCATCATCTTCCTCAGATTTGACTCTTGAGTCTAAATAAAAGCAATGTCTGAATTTTATCTGGCTTTGCCATAAATTTGCTTTGGGAGAGAAAGATGATACAGGACATGCACAAATTCTTAAGAARGCATTATTTACATCAATCAGCTGAGTCACAAAAACATAGATCCAAGATACTGCCAGACATCAATAAAACTAAACCTAAATGCACAGACCAGCCTTCTGTTGGACTTGAGCTATATGACTTTCTAAAACTTCCACAACCATAGCAGCTCACGTAGCTTAAAGTTTCCCCAAACTATTTGTTTTCTTTTTAAAATCTCCAATTTAAACAAAATTTTGAATCATCCCATCAATCTCAGCTGCAGGGGAACCCCCAAAAGGTGTGGCTATTTGAACAAAAACACCAGTGACTCTTCCAGTGATTCCCACTCTGAAACCACCATTTGCCAAGCAAGAACTCACGTTTTTTCTCATCAGCTTTACTTTCTGAAGGAGCCGCATAGCGTCCCTCTTTCATGGCCTTCTGGATGAACTTGTAGTAGGGATTGAGGTAGTGATCAAATCGCAGAAAGTCAAACTGGGAGTTGCGTGCTTGCTTGGCTTTCAGCATGATCTCAAACTGGGCACCCTGCTTGCACACAAAGTTTGCAGTTCGCTCGATAATCGCATGCATTTTTGCTGTTGGTGGCTGTGGGGGTAAAGTAACACATTGGTATTTTCATAAGCAGCTTGTACAGTGTGTCAGAATTCCAAAGGGAATTACAGAGAACAGTAGTTCCCTGCCCTTTACACCGCTCTTTTAACAACTYGGGTTTCATAATCACTTACAAGAGAAAGCACATCAGCACTAAAACCCAACAAAAACAGTCCCAATCTTCCTCAGCTGCTCATTCAGCTCCTTTCACAAGACTCTCTTCTACCAGCACAGCTGTTTCAGTATTAAACACCAAACTAAAGAGGGAAAAAGATCCTGGATGACCTCGGTGTTACAATACCTTAAGGTGCTCTGAAGACTTAACATGTATGGTTTCGTTCCCAAAAGCTGTCCTTAATTCTGTTATCTCTGAATATGCAAATATTGTTCCCCAACTGTAAATTTATTACTTTGTATTTGTTTGGAAAGAACATGTTGCCTCTCAAAACCAATACACAGCACATGGGAATTTTAGTTTGCAACATTTCCTTGATAAGTCATTGAATAATTGAGCAATAAAGCAAAAGATAGTATTAACAAAGTTAAGGAGCATCCCTGCATATTCACTCTTGAATCCCCTATGGAGCAGTACAATATCCAACCCAGGATGTGAAGTGAAAAAGACTACAGTTACAGAATGAATGAACTTCATCATTCACCGTTTCTAATTTCATACTCAGCTGTTTTGTTTTGCGCTCAGTAAACTGTAAAAACACGTGTTCTGTGTGCCTATGAAGACTGAAATGTCACATTAATAATTAGGTTAAGCTTTGCATTTTTACAGCACAGCTACACCCCTATGTTGAAAACCTCAAACAATATTTTTCAGAAGACTGGAAGCACTTGAGACAGTGGTGCTCCACATATGGAAAAAAGTCTGAATATTATCAAACAGCCCAATTTAAAAAACTGTTTTCATTCCATTAGACCCTGTACCAGGACATGTTCATACAGAAAATAACCAGCTGTTTCAAGTTTTATTTGTCCCTCTAAAGCCCCACCAAAGATTATTTTAATTAGAGGCAGTAAGGTTCTTAACAAACCGATAACATTTTGTGCATTATCAGTTTCACATCACATATCAAGTTTTCCTTTTGTCTCTCCTCAGAAGTTATAAACTGATAATTTCCTCTAACATCGCACTTTCATAGCATCCACAGACTTCTTTAAGTGCACTGGTGAAGAACAGTGATCTTTGCCCACAATCACAGTTTCAAGCAGTGGAAGAGCTTCGGCCTGCTTATCACAGCTCTTCTAAGTTCCAGAAAAMCATTTCTGCCAGAGTTGGAGCTGCCATACACTAAGGGTTCTCTAATTAAAAGATAATTAAGTAGAAAAACAGCTACACAAATACTCTGTGATCACTATTAGTTATTCTAACAGAGTGCTCTGAATCTTTACTGACCAGGGTTATCAAGTTGAGAATACCACTGAGCCCACATATAAATTAACACTTTCATGACCACCGTTATCTGATCTTCCTGCATCTTTTATGAAACTTGAAATAAATTGAAAACCCTTACAGGTAGACCCGTACTCAAACAGGTGTCTGCTCAGCTCCCTACAAGAAAAATACACAAGTTTCAATTAAGTCTAAAAGAACAYGTTATGGCAAATTCTAGCAACAGCACATGAATGAAAGAGCTTGTATGTGCTAATATTTTCAACTTAATTCAGGCTGTGGTAGAGATAAATTATGGATTTTCTCCTTCAATATACTAGTCTTATATACAGTTTTTACACTTGAACAATTCCTATCCCCTTCAGATTGGGACTCAATTCAGAAGATTCCAGAAAAGAACTCTTGAACAGAAGCAAATTTCCGGTTTTTATGGACTTTTGGTCCTTTGTGTTTGGAATGTTGAATCATACATCTCGGCAAGCATCCATTCCAAGAACAACTGCCTTTTCTCTGCATTATCTAAACAATATCACAAATGATAATAAATGCACTTAGTATAAGCACAGTAATCATTTCAGTGTAAAAAAGAGGATTCAAGGGTGCTCACAGAACTCAATAATTCAAGGAAGAACTTTTGAAATTAAGGTATTATTTTAGAATAATTTAAAATGGATGACACTAACGTTAATGGAAAAAAAACCCTACCCGACCACCAAAYAGAGCACCATCAACTGCTCAAAAGCTGGCAGAAGTGTAGGCTGCATTAAATGTACACATACCAGCTCCACATCGGAAGGTACATTCAGTCCCGGAGGGGCAACAAAAGGTTCTTCATTTTCTTCTGTATTTTCTGTCTGAGCTGTTTCTACAATAAGTGACAGAACAACGTACTGTATGAACAACATGTCCAAGTACCCAAACATTTAAAAAAAAATAAAGTATATCTAAAAGAATGTGCAATCAAGTGCAACTCTACAAAGAGCATTTGCACAGAAGACATTTAAATATGGTTATAAAAAATAATTTTTATTACATCCCCTTATTTGCTATAGCAGAARCGTTCCTCTGAAAAGATACTGCCTTACAGATTTTTACAAAAATTGAAGTGAAAAGTTTACTTTTCAAAGTAACTTTTACTATTATCTATTCTATTATCCCTAAGAGAAATTGCATTCCCTTTTTCCTGTAACAGATTAGATGGCACCAAGTGCAAGAACACCCGACCACGGGAGCTGTGGACACAGCAGAACAGCCTCATCACACATGAGATGTTGCAGTGATTGCTGCAGACAAACCATGCAACAAAGGGAGTTCGTTTGTTGGGTTGCTTTCTGGTGGGTTGGCTTTTGTTTTKKTTTTTTTTTTAAATGAACTCAAAAATTTAACTCCACAAAGGCACAGAGAAATGTTAGCAGCAAAGAAGGAAGGAGCAGCAGGCAGTAGAACAGACCASAGCAGCAGCTCCAGCTAACACTATTTGGCTTTTAGAGTCTAAAACAAATGAATTAAACCCCAGAAAAGACAATGCAATTCTGCTTCAATACAAAAGAGTGGAGGAGAAAGTCTGTACGTTACAAGTAGCACAGACACCGACCGCCTTTACACAATCTCAAGACACAGCAAAAAAACACTAAATAAGCTATAGCACCTAAAATTGCCCAGCATTGCATCATACACCTTGGGGAATAAAAAAAGCACATCTCCTACCACAGTGACCCACCAAGATGTAGTTATGCAGCCCCAATGTTAATTAAATGATCCTCACTTTACTAAGACATAGTTCAACACCAGTTGAAACCTTCCTTAAGAATGTGTGATAAAAATACAAAGTTATTGTAATTATAAATGGGAACATGACATCTTAATTCTGTATCTTTTAGGTCATGGAGCAGGGCAGAATATGTTGAAGACATGCTCATTTATAATATTTAAAATGAAAAAATCTAAACTTCAAAATATACATTCTTATTAATTACTATTCTCTGATGAAATGTTTGCACAATTTTTTATTGCACTTTAATGACACTGCTCAACTGCAAGACAGAGCAACGCTATGTCCTCCCTCTCAAATAACCCTTGTTATTTTTACCCCTTACCTCTTTGTTTAGCAGGCTGATGCTCCTCCTCTTCAGTGGGCTCTGAAGGGTCATAATAATCACTGCCATAACGGAATCCCACTGCATTGTAGGTACCATCCTCTGCCAAAGCTTCACTCAGTCTTTTATATTCCTCCTCTTGAACAAAAATGCAATTATGAACATTAGAACATATGCACAAGCTAACATATTAAAAGAAAAAAGTAGTATTTCTTACTTCAGTTTTTAAATAAGAAGTTTTCACCTGATCATTTTAGCTTTCATTAAAAACTGAACGGAACGACACAGCATGTATACATGCTGACCACTTATTTCTCTTGAAGAGATACAGGCTGCGGATAAAGACATTCTTATGCAATTATGCGTACAAAAGCATAGAATTTCATTCAAAAGACACTGAAAATGAAGCAGAATGTTTTTATTTGGGGGGGTCTGAAATCCCAGTCTGCCCTCAAGAATCTGTGCAATTTCTGTGTGGATCTACAGTTAAACTATCCTGAGGTCCTCTCACATACGCAAAGACTCCCGCTTTTCGAATCCACAGGGTACTGTCAAGATAACATCAGAAAAAGAGAGTATAAAATTAGGAGTAAAATTAATTTCATAATAGTTTATTTAAACGTGCTTTTCTAATAACCATGTTATTCCTTGAGCAATACCTTGCCTTGCCTCCTCCTCAAGCAAGTCCGTATGCAAGGCTAAATACCTCTCTTCATCACAGAGGGCTTCTATTCTAGCCTCCTCTTCAGACAATTGATAATCTCTGTTCCAGGTGGAATATTCAGCATCATATTCAGAAAGGTCATGCAGGTGACCACGCCCATCATACCTGCAGGATGAAACAGCTGGTCAATGCAAAGAACTTAGGGCTTGGGTTCATGCGATTACTTAAATACTTACCCAATAAAAATGAAAAAAAAAMCAAAAAACTTACACGTTAATGCATACTCCCTTTTAGAAGTTACAATTAATTTTGCTAATCATTTGTCACCAACTATCGAAAATTTGTTTAATAGTCTAAATTCCTCTCAAAGAAACTAATAAATTATTACAATTAAAGGCAAAGGTATCCTTTAATAGTTTAAGTGGGATCCATTTCCTTAACAGCTCTTACCGTACGTGCTTCAACCAACCAATCAATGTCACTTGCAAAATACGTTTTTCTGGAAAGTCAAATAGCTTACATTCACACAAACCCGAGTACATAAATACCTATCCGTAAGAACCAAACGGTCGAAATTTCCTCGCTTCTTTCTGCTAGTCCCGAACTCTCAGGAGAAATCTTCACCATAGAAACTTGCGTCCATTGGAGGTAAAATCATGGCTAGGCTCGGCCCCTAGCCATTTGGCTGAGGAAATAAGTTCTGGGTTATGTGATAGAGAGACACACATACATAGGAACAGTAACATAAACATGCAATTTAAGGAGGTTCACTGCAAAATCGGCAAAGATCAATGACGTACAGTTCCTTTCTACTAAATCACTTTATTTGCAGGAAAAGCACTGCATTGGGATAATGTTTATGCATCAGTAAGAGAAACTGATTGGAAAGTAAAGCAACAGTCAACTCGACTCCGCTGAGGTGTCTTCCCACACACAACTCTTGACTTGTGCCAACTTGCTAGACCGAAAACAAAGAAAGTAAATATTCTTATAGCAAAAGGCAAATGAAACATAGGTCTGGTTAATCAAGCTCTGTCCACAGCAAACTTGAACCCAAGTATTCTCATAGCAGTGTGCTTTCTCAAAATGGTGAAAATGAAGACTTCCTGCTGCTGGAGATAAAAGGTATCTAAGCTTCCAAAGGCGTTTATAAGATTAGCAATTGCAAGCTGCCTTAACTCAAAAATGCAGAGTATTTGGTGTTTCAGTATGTGTGTACAGACATGCACATACTTAGTGTTTGCTCTCTACAATTTCTGTAACACCTGTTAACCAGGCTTTGCTGCACAGCACTCCAAAAACAGCCTCTACCAACAYAGAAGATCAGTCACAGAAATTACTTGAATTAGAAGTGTGCAACACAACACTTCCATTGCTGTGTAAGTGAGAAATTAAACATAGCTACATTTACAGCTGTTGGCTCCTGCCTTTGTATCTCTTCCAATTTAACAAATTTATTTCAATGATAACCATCACCAATGGCGTAAGCACCAAACCAGGGCAAGGGCATTTCTTTTTTCTCCAGTCTTGTGGAAGGAAATCATACRACCTTCCTTACTGATGTATTTCCAAGGCAAATACAGCTCTCAAATCAAAATAAGAAAACCTTGTCTAGCACCAACGCAGTGACAAAACTGAGGAAACAAGTATCTATAGTATGTCATGGAACCCTTTTCAAACCAAAGTTCTTCCATCATTTCCACTGAGGTTTTCAGGGTCAGCCACAACTCTTAATTTATTCTTTCAATGCTCCACTCACACATAACCACCCTGACCTCCCATCTTCTGTCTCTCCAGCAAAATATTCACAAAACTCCTTCTGAATGAATTTATTTCCAAATCCCATCCTGCACCACTGAAACAACTCAAGAGACCAGAAGGAACATCAAAGCAGATTCTATTACTGTCTCTGGCCACGAACCTGCACCTACTGCACAACAACCAAAAGAAGCCAGCCCTGACATAAAATGTGACAAGCAAGTACCCAAAATCAACTCCATTCTGTCCATACAGTAAATCACAGCAGAAGGAGAAGTAATCAGGCCAAGAACTGCTCTTGGGATGTCCCATCAACAGGCTGCAGCCAGATTAGGCAGGAGAAATAAGAAATTCCCATTTCCTTTACAGTGGATAAACACCYTTCCACTCCCCACATCGTCCCGGTTTCTCCTACAGAACATACAATGTGCCTAATAAGTACTCCCATGCAATCAGGCTCCCTCGGATTCCAAGCGAGAAAAGAGAATGTTTGTGGTTTGCACTGAAAAGGAACAGATCATTCCCCCTCTCCACCCTGCCGACCCTGCCCTGGTAAGTGGAGCACAAAGACCCATCACATGCCGACTGCCAGGAGGAGAGGAACCTCCCAACGCTGCCCGAGCGGGAAATCCCAAGTTCCCGCAGACGGGGGGCTCTGCAGCGTTACCACAGCACCCTCGGAGCGCTGTGCCGGGAGAAGCTGCTTCCAGTCCCGCGACGGGAGATTCCGACGCGGCTACGAGAGCGAGCCCTCTGCTCATCCCCCGCCCTCACTCCCCAAAGCACAAGGGGGGGAACAGAAAGAGGCTATCACAGGAGATCTGGCAGCACAGTCTGGGGGTTGTGTTACACCGACCTATCGATCATGATCTTGGGGTCTCCCATCCAAGGAATAAGGTGTCGCCCCTGCTCCTGGTACTGAGCCTTCTCATCATCCCGAAACAGCTTGCAGGCATAGCCGAACACCAGCAGCTCCACACGGCTATTCCCGCCTCCACCTCCACCTCCTCCTGGGGGCCCGGGCACCGCTCCCCCGCCTGACAACAACATTAGGGGCGGCGGGCCTGCTTCTTCTGCAGTCCGTCGAGACCCTCCGACCCCTCCGTACATCACGGRGGGGCGCAGCGAGGTGGAGGCAGCTAGCAGGAGCACCGACTGTCTGAGCAGCGAGTCCCCGCACGGCCGGGCCTGCGCTAAAGCCCCCGGCCCCAAAGCACCACAGCCGCCATCACCCGAAACAAAATGGCGGCGCTTCCGGTTCCGCTGGTGACGCAGCTGCGGGAACGTGCTGACTTTTCGCGACAGCAGATTCGCGTTAAGCTCCTGCAGCCCCCCGTGTCAAATCCGAAATAACGCCACAGCGCGGTACCGGCGAGCACACTGCGCGTTCGGGGACGGCGGTGGAASGGGCCGGCAAAGGCGGTGGGAGCACAGGCCCGGCCGTGACGAAAGTGCGGAGCACGGGGAGGTGGAGCGGGCGCCTGAGGCGGGGCGGGGCGCGCCTGTGCGGAACGGTTTTTTTTCCTTTTTTTTTCATCTCAGAGGAAAAGCAAAAGCCATGATCCGTCTCTGCTAATTTCTTTCTGCCATGCATGAAGCTCAACTCCCCTGTTGCCTACCAGTCATTGAAAAGGTTTATACTGATGTATCTCTGCAAGGACAGAGATATGAAGGATAAGGATGTCATACACTGTGACAAAAGTGAGATAAGCAAAATGTTCATAAACTATTGTGCAATGTCTCCCTTTTTTAAATCATGAGCAAAAGAGGTACTGCTTGCATAAACTATTGACTTCAAGGCGTTATCAGTCTTGATTTGACCACAGAACTCTCACAGAATCTTAGTAGTGACCCTTCCCAGAATGGGAGTCCCATGTTCCTTTCCTGCATTGCAATACAAGGATTTTCTGTGCATTTTATTCCAAGGATACCAGTTTTTCTTCTTTGAGCCTTGAAACATCAATTAATTATGAATAATCTTAAACAAGAGACCAGAGAGTGATACTAGGAATTGATTATTTGCTTAGGAAGAGCCAGGTCAACGTGGAGGCCTTTGAACTTACCAAGTCTTCAAAGCTGCACTGGCAATAAATCCTAGAAAACATTTTCCCCAATACTTTTGTTTTAGGTGTCCAACATTCATCTTGTATGTCAAACAAGACAGATGAGAACTGTTCCAAATCCTCCATAAAGATTACATCACTGCAAATGACAAGGCTTTGGGGAGATGGTATCTGCCCTTATCCCTGAAAATCTATCTTGGGAGGATTTTCATAATCTCTTTGAAATCCTAGATTTCCAGAACACTTCACAGAACTCTGCAAAACATCTCCTTGACAAGAGCTGTGCAGGGAGGCAGTCATGTTGCTCTGCTGCAATCTGGTTTGGTGCTGTTAATAGTTTCTCTACAATTCCTTGTATCATAATGCATTTTTTAAAAGTGTTTTTAAAGACCATGCGATCACAGGCAATAAATACGTAGAAAACTACTTTGAAGAGTCTGCAGTCAGATTTTCACCTTATGCTTTTATTTGTGAGGGCACTAGACATTTTGTTTGTTTAAGAATACAGGAAGAAAGAATGTTGTAGGCAGAGATAAAATCTTTTAATAGATCAGATGATGAAGTGGGAAAAATTAGACTTTTTTACCCAAGAACTTGTCTGGAGCAGAGATGTTAAAAAGAACTTGAATAACTAGATACTCTTCTAATCTGTCCAAAAACTCAACTGGTCTAATACAGCTAATGCAAACTCTGTCCTTCATTTATTGAATAGCTTAAATTCAAYAGAATATCTGCAGTACCTTTGGGAAAATCAAAACTTTATGTGAAAATCTAATTTTTATGTTAATCACTATTCAGAAGGAGTAAACTACACGCCTCCAAGTGCAAGGTGATAATACAAAGATATCAATCATCAGATTCATTTCTGTAATACATGAATTTTCATGGTTTGTTGAAAGAAAACCACCCCTCTGGGGAAAAAACTGCCTTGAAAATCAGTGAAGTCATTGCAGTTGTAATTTAGTGTTTGGATAAAGCTGAAAATTAGCCAGTTAATATTCTTGTCAGTGACAAATAAGAAATGTGAATTACTGTATGAGCAGTTTTCCACATGATTGTTGGTATTTATGCATACATATAAATTTCTTTTCCCTTAGTCAAAGAGAAAAAGGCAACATTAGCAATGAAAAAGACAGCTTAGAATCGGAAGATGTTTAAAAATGCTTCTTTTCTTGAGAGTGCCATTGTGTTAGGATAGGGATTGGAGAGAAAGAGCCTTCAGAGACTGAATCATTATGACACTGCAGCAGCCAGGCAGGAACATGTTCAAAACCAACCGCGTATGAGCAGAATTAAAGGACTCAGAGCTGTGTCTCTGCAAGAAATGGAGCAGAGACAAACGTTAACTGGTTTGTCTTAAAGAGGAGCCTTGTTGCATCTGCTCCGCTCAGAACCCTCGTGTCATAGCAAGGAAACAATGAACCGCTACCCAAAAGTTTTTATTGGAGCCCATTTGGGAGAAGAAAAAATTCCGTGTGTCGGGCAGAACCAATCCCTTCCCCAGCCCTCCAAACCATTCCGCAAATATTTCCCCCTCATGTGCACATTAGTGTAGAAAAATAACAAACCCTTATCATGTACAGTACAGTTTATTTTTTTTCACCTTTAGGAAGGTRTAAACACTTTTACAGTAACTTACCATAAATGTGTCTACAACAAATAGAAAAGATTGGTGAAGAGGAATATACAATTGTTTTACCTTTCTCTTATGCCAGTCATTTGAAAATCAGTCACATGTTGCAGCACAATGGATCAATTTCATTGTGTACCAGTGATAAATTTAATGTACTCTGAACATGAAAATCCCATTATTGTGATTTTGTATGTAATATCTAAATATATAGATTCTAGTAGAACCAAAAGAACCCATGGCACTGATTGAACTCCTTTAAAAAGTACTTACCTTAAAAAGTAACTTGATCCTTAGTAAATTCTTTCAACTTATTTTTTTTCTTTGCAGTGTTCATTTTTAATGCTTTAMTGCATTAAGCCATCAGATAAAAAGGGTGCTAACGGCCTGGCTACATTTTCATCTAACAAAAGCTACATTTAGTGGGCTCAATTATGAGTGGAAACTTTAGATTGAAATAGAAAAAGAAAGATGACAGAGCAATTTATTTTTACACTAAAACTATTAATTCTTGCACCCTCCCCTCCTTACAATATTCTGATGCTTAACACTACATTAATGAGGCACTTTTAATATAATTATGGTTGCTTTTGTTCAAGCTCTTCCTGATTTTCAGATGTGGTCTTAGAATTAGCTGTCCTTGGCAGGAGTGAAATGTTCCCTTTAATTGGGCTGAAATTGTCATCTTYTAACAATTATCTGAAACATCTTTTGCTATTTTTTACCATTTGGATTTAGGGAGAAGAAAGAGAAAATATAATTTCATGATGCTTCTCTCTTTGGGTGAGTTAGCCAACCTAAAATTTGTAGCATCCTTGCTGGGGTTTTCACAGTCTGAAGCACAACATAGGGCCACTGAACCGTTCTTCCTCTCAATCTTTAGATGCATTATAATTTATATTCTTTTGCAGCGGTCTGAAGAATACAGGATCTAATTCCTAATACAAGTAATTCATTAGCAACAGACTATGTTGATTCTGGAACCAAATATAGCAATTACCCTAAATATATTCAAAATGCCTCTTAAGCAGTGATTTGAAGGAGCCAGTAACAAGCTGCGGAGCATTTAMTCTTCCAGTTGCTGGTCTGCTTCTCAGTTAGGGTTGTGCTGGAACTTATTTGTGGGCTATAACTAAATGTGTGGGTGCTGCACACAGCCAGCTAATTTGGAGTCTCAGGAGGATGGAGGAATAAATGGACGACAGCAGCTGAATTCCCTTTACATTTTTAGCATGTCACCTTCCTCTGAGTGCAGGGAATACAGGGCTTTGTAATTCAGCTCTCCATCTTTACAGGGCTGTTTCCTTCATCTCTATGCATGTGGCTGGCTCTAGTGGGCTTTGATATGATTATGAAATGGCAGTGTGAATTACGTCTCTCTGTGGATGTACGAAATTTATATCATTATCCCCTCATGCGTATTAAGAGAATACACTTCTTGTTCAGACATAAGGTGATCTTCCAATCGTTAATAGAGAAATTCCTCTTCATGGTCCAGTCAATCTGTGAACTTTATGCACCACTTAATGTACCAAAGAGAACACCATAAAATATTACTGACTTCATTATCTGAAAGTAAATTATTGTTTAAAAGCAAATGCATCAATCTCATCTGACCTGTATTTTTTTCTGCTACTGGAATAATTATAAAGTGTATTGTTAAGTTTGTTCTTGCTGTCAGGAAAACTTGTCATGCTCACTGTCTATTTTCTTGAGGGACACGAGGGGTTTGGAGCTGCGTCAGCAATGAGGGAGAGATTTGCTGAGTTTTCTCATTTTATGGGCATTTTCTTGGACAGCTTTTATAAATATACAGCCATCAGGAAACTCAGTTCTGCACAGTGCTAAAAGACAGTCTAGATCCAGAAAGAAAAGTAAGCACCCATACTCACTTGACTTAATCCTGCCTATTATGTAATCATTTTTCTTACTAAGGCGAGGATCTGGTTAATATATTAGGCCTTTTAAATTKATGTGCTCTATGAAAGTAAGGATTCCAACAAGAATAAATTTATTATTATTATTTTTGCTTTTGCAGGTTGTCTGTTTTTATGTCACTTWTAAGTAACCTAACTCTAATGTGACAGAATTATACTGCTATATATAGCTGAAAATGCCATACAAAAWAGCTCATTTTCTCTTACAGAAAAATTGTGATTAGATTCTGTTTTAAATGAGATTTTGTGAGTGAAGTTGGTGATAGTTACTTCCTCAGATATGTCCATGTTATTATAAGATCAAYACTTCATTGATTCAAATGATAAGAGAGCTACTATTAGATTTCATAAAGTCATTAATTAGCAAAATACCAGTAGTGCTTACTGAATCACTAGGGTTTTATTGCTTAATTTTATGCCTAACTAAGCATACTCTCTGCTCTAATTAGTGGAAAATGCGTTAAAAATATACAGGATATGGCCTACTTATGTACACAGTCACAGTTTAACTAATTTTCTTTAATTTCCAGATATTATATCAACATTATAAAATATTCAACACATATTTCATTAGCTACCATTAGATGCAGCTTAACTAATCTAGAAGTAAGTTTAGAAATT